AGGGTTTATAGGGTTTAGGGATTGGGTTTGGGGTTTAGGGTATAGGGTTTAGGGTTCAGAGCCTGCTTTTGAATTTTTGTTCTCAGAGGGTCTTATCGGGTTTCTCTCGAAGGGTGTTGCAGGGTGTTATAAGCTCGGAAAAGGTTTCTAGGGCTTTATACGGGTTTAAATGGCTTGGCAGGATTTAACGGCGTTATGATGTCTTCGTTGCGGGCTTTCTTGTAGTTTGACAGTGGAGGCATGAACTTTAAATGGTGGATAGAGCCCGGTCTACGGGATTTCGCCAGTGCAGGGCAATGGATTCAACACGCCACGTTCCGAAAGGTGCCCAAAGGCTTCTTACTTCGAGGTTCATGGGTAGATAGTACTGGGCTTAAAAGTAAAATGACTCTAATAATAATAACCCATACTAGTGGAGTTCTAACCCCACGTAAGAAGTACCCATGAACCTTAAAGTACATCACATCCGAAATTCTAAGCTGAACAGGGGCTCCAGTTCTTGGCGGTCCTTTGTCATTTTACAAGTACATACAGTCCACGAAGCATAAAATTTCAATTCTCTACACGAGCCATTGGGGCTTGGGACATTAGATGCAGGGTTAGAGGTTCGAAGAGGTTGAGGACCTCTGCAGCTTTTTGGATGTCGAGACTTGCTTGAAGCCTTTACAGGCAACCTTTTGAGGCTTAGCAAAGGCTTAGGGGTTAGGGTGTAGTGGTTTGCTGTTTACAGTCAGACACGAAGCAAGACCAGCAATAGGTACTTTCGGGGTCAGAATAGGGCGAGGAGAACTCTATACGATAGATATCGGGAATATATAGGAATACTCAAACTACTCAGAGCCCTATGTTCGACTCCATGGCCTTGGTTGTTGATGATCCATTTCTGATCTTGGAGGATCTTACCCACATCCATCGACCGGGCGGCGCCCCGGAATTTTAAGCATCCTGGGCTGGTTTTTGTTTGCGTTTGAGGCAGGGCTTTGGGTCTGGGGTTTCGGGGAGGTTGTGGCTTCTGAGTAGGGTTTCTGGAGGTCACACTGCAGCCCTGAACCTCTTGATACCGCCCCAACAAAACCCCACAGTCCATAGACTCTAGAATCTACATCTTGAGTCAAACCCTGCACCCTAAACCCTAAACCCTAAACCCTAAAACCCTAAACCCTAAACCCTAAATGCAGACTTACCTCAACAGTCTTAAGCTGAAATCTGAGACTGCTTGCAGCAAAGGCATCCTAAGAAGAATTCTTCGATCTCGACGGCACCACCTCGTCATCAGGAGTGGAAGCAGAGCGCGAGGTTGAAGAGTCCGGGCTTGGAGTTTAGGGTTTAGGGTTTAGGGTTTAGGGGTTTAGGGTTTAGGGATTTAGGGCATACAGGTTAGGAAGTGTCTTTAGGGTTTAGGGCTTAGGGTTACACCCCCGAACTTTATACCCTAAATCCATCTACGCGATTCATCTATATACCCCCAAGCCCTGTTCCCATTATTACGGCCCCTATGACACTAAAGCCCCAAGGAGCATGAGCGCCCTCAACCCTGAAGCCCCTGAGCCCTGAACCAGTCTGGATCCGTTCACCTCCTTCCCTTTGGTTTAGGGTTTAGGGTTTAGGGCTTAGGGTTTAGGGTTTAGGGTTTAGGGTTTAGGGCTTAGGGTTTCGGGTTTAGGGTTTATCATCCTCAAGCAAGAACCTAAAAAGAGCCTGCACATACCATTATGATGAAGACGAAGAAGCAGATGTTGCTACTGATGATGAGGATGACGATGGTGGTGATGATGATGATCATGATACTGATAACGATGATGATGACGATGAATGTTACTAGTATTGTTAGTAGTCTTCGTGTCCATACTAGTATTGTATAGATAATATTATCATGGCTGTGATTCTGTGTCCATGGCTGTTATTACTATCATTGTTTCTTGTTTTGTGGTTGGTGCTGCTATTACTACTATCGGTATGAGTATGGTGCTTAGTGGTCATTAGCATGAAATTGCTAAGGTCTTAGTAACTTACTAGAAATATCCCCTTAGACCGGATAGGCTTCAATAGCTATTCATGCTTGTGTGCTAATGGAGGTGCCTGACTATTGACCTCCAGAACCCCAAACCCCACAAGTTTATGGACTGGGGCCTGGGTTCGAAGGGTTCAGGGTTTAGGGGTCAACGGTTGAGAACGCATCTCTTACGTCTTAACATTGAATCCGCAAGCCGTAGCATGATCATGCACATTACATTGCAACAAGATGTTCAGCCCTGACCCTAAAACCTAAACCCTAAACCCTAAAACCCTAAGCCCGAGTGACCCAAAGCTTCCGCCTCCATCTACATCGAGCAGCTTGAAAAATGACCACCTCGGAGTAGCAAGAGAAGAAACTCATGAGAGCCCATGCTCGCATTCGACCCGAAACAAGCATGCCGGCTGCATGCTATACTTAATTTAGTATACGGGCCTGAATAACTACAATAGGGTTTTGGGGTACATTATACTATAAATAAAAATGAGGAACCCTCAAAATCGTATAGGTCATTATTAAGGCCCCCAGATTAAACCCAATAGGGAGCCCGATGGGTTCTGAACACTAAGCATGCAGCTTCCCCCCCCCATCTCCCCGCAATACTTCCTCGTTTCCGTCAACGTCTAAACTCCGTCAACGCTAAAACTTCCCATCTGAATTAATACAGGGGCCTTGATAATTAGAACAGGGTTTGGCGGTATGTTATACCTAAAATTATAATAAGGAACCCCTCCAAAAAATATGATTGGTAATTCTTTAGGCCCCTATAGTAACCCTAAACCCTAAACCCTAAAGCCTAAAGTTAAGGGTCCTGTCGTGCTCCGCACGGTTCTCTCTCTGGTCGGAGGTTCGCTTCGCTTGAACGGCGCAGGGATGCATCCGACCCTCTTGGGGCAACCACATTGAGTTAAAGTTTAGGGTTTAGGGTTTAGGGTTTAGGGTTTAGGTGGGGAGTTTTAGGTTCCATTCAAACTGGGTTTAGGGTTTAGGATTTAAGGATTAAAGGGAACTACAGGGACCCTGCTCCCGCTCCAAGCTCCCATCTTGCGAGGGGCTAAGGGTTTTTTTGGGGTTTAGGGCTTTGGGTTTAGGGATTAGGGTTTAGGGCTTTGGGTTTAGGGATTTAGGGTTTAGGGGTTTCTGGTTTAGGATTTAGGGTTTAGGGCTTTGGGGTTTAGGGGTTTAGGGTTTAGGGGTTTAGGGGTTTAGGGTTTTGGCACTTCCGGGCATTTAGCATGACTGAAAGGCTCCGCAACTGACATAAAAAGCTTGGCCGGAGCAGGCCTTGTACATCAGTTCGAGGCCTGGCAAAACACGAAATCAAAAGAGCAGCAGGACCCGGCTCTAACGCCCTGGACCCTAAACCCTAAACCCCTAAACCCCTAAACCCTAAACCCCTAAACTCCTATAAACCCTAAACCCCTTTAAAGCGGATCTCCATAGTGCTTCTGCGGCCAGGCGTCGCGTCCCAGACATCCAAGCCCAATGCTTCGAAATACCTTGGCTGACTCCGGTTTTAGTGTGTTTTTAAGCGCCCCTTTGCTCGTCCGCAACAGCCTCCAAGAAAGCCCTGGTTTAGGGTTAAGCTTAGGGTTTAGGAATATTAAAGTCCATATAGAAACCCTGAAAGTTAAAGTCATAAGAGCCAACCAGAAGAACGCCGAGATACTGGCGCACCGCTGGAGTTTTAATCTTCTCTTCAAAGACACCAATGGTGAGCACGCCACTCTCTTCTGCACCGATCTCGCTGAAGAGCGCTTTGATCTTTGTCAAGTGCGCGTTCTTGTTATCCATCATGGACTGAACCACCATTGCATGGTCATTTTGGGCGCTCTCTATAGCGCTTTGACAGAACACCTGAGCTGTCCAGAATAAAAACAAGAAGAACATGTTGATGAAGGCAACCAATCCATCAAACTGATCAGAGTTTGCGGGGAGGGGGCGCAGCCGCCAAGGGGTGCAGAAGAAGATTGCTGCTGCACAGGCCAGAGGATATGTCTTTTGGCTGGCTCCACAATTAATTGACGAGGACTTGGCCAAAACATGTCTTGACGACATGGCTTACTGCAAATGTACACATGATGTGATGTTGTGAAGGACTGTATGTGCAGAGATGCTGTTGGGGGAAAGCCGGGAAAGACACCGCTGCTCACAGAATCAATGGTTCAGTGGAGTGAGTCGTACTCTGCACACACTCCAAAACCCTTTCATTCAAAAACCCTAACTTACCCCCAGACCCTCGCAAACTCTGAATCCCAAAACCTAACCCTAGGCTTCCAGGGACCTCATTCTGGGGCCCTCCACAGGGTCTAGGGTTTAGGGTTTAGGGTCTCGGGGTCTAAAGTCCTAAACCCTAAGCCCCAGAACCATGGAAGCATAGCAGTAAGCCTAAGCAGGACTCCTTTGATCATCGTGTGACCCTGAGCTCGGCCAAGGCACTCCGGTTACGACCTCGGAAACCCAGCGGGCGGTTTAGGGTTTAGGGCTTGTGGGGTTTAGGGCTTAGGGGGTTTATGGGGTGTAGGGTTTAGTTCATTTATGGGGTTAGGGGGCTTTCTCAACAGGGTACTTCTGGTAGTTGGATACCCATACGACAAAATACAAAAACATGCAGAAACATACACAAACCCTCGAAATCATTCGATAAAGTTCGTTTTAATTCAACTCCTTCTTTTCGGTTAGCGTCCAGGTGTGGGCAGTGCAGGGCCCCTTCAGCCATGCACAAGTTCTGCCATCGTACCAACAAAACATACAGGAAATACGAAAATACATAATCTTTCAAAACCATTCACAAAAATACACAAAAGATCAGAAAAATCATAAAATCAAAAAAATCAGAAAAATCAAAAAAGATCAAAAAAATCACGAAAATCACAAAAAATCACCAAAAAAACAAATCTATGTGCTTTAATGTTTTTGAATGATTTGGAATGATTGCGTATGTTTCCCAATGCTCCCCACAAGTGCCAGAAGACCCTCTTTCGGAAGCACCCCTATCCTTAAGAAAGATTATAGGCTTAGAGTAAACTTACACACCAGGCTCCGAAAGCAGCTTGCTGCAACACATCCAAGCGGTACCTGTGAACTTCAGAGCCACTGCTTCGGCGCATGGAGTCGATGCACATCGCACAACTCCCATCGAACTCACTCTAAAAAATGCATCTGAGTCTCGTTGAGGACAGCGAAATACGTAAAAGCTATGTAGAACCTTGGCAAGCAGGAGTGGCATGGCACACCTAGATTCCTAATACACCGGCTTGTTACGATGCGAAAGACACGCGAAGACAGCCACACGTAGTGGTCCCCATATGACATCACGCCGTTAGAAACTACTGCCGGCAAGGCGAATCAGCCGAACTCACCTTCACCACACAATGCGGACAGTCACTCAAAGGAGCAGAGGAGCAGCGAACATGCAAGGTAGGAAGGGGTAACGGCAAAATGATCGAGTAGACCAGCATCATAAGTAAACCCTAAACCAAACCCTAAACCGAACAGGTGAACCTTAAGAAGGGAGCCCGGAAGCCTCGTATGACACTTAGTGAAAACGCAGTGATGCCTGACTTAGGTACACCTCGTACCTTACAGTAACGGCTTCTTATTAATTCGTATTAATACGATTATTGTCATTATTATGATTATGAGTATTCTGATGATTTTTGTTATTACCTCTATAAGTATGTTACAGCAACAGCTACCGCAGGGGCTACTGTGCTAATATTCGGGGCTGAAAACTTACCTCGCCGTGGAATGGTCCAATGCATCCCCTGAATCTCATGAAGCCTCGTATTGCATGGGGGCACATGGGCCTCCCTAAATCATACAAAACGCTCCGAGTTTCAGTGCATCAGGAGAATTTTGCTGCGGGAGTGTGCGGCCAGGGGCTTAACCCCTAAGGGTCCATGTATGTCGGGGCCAAAGTATACACTACTTGGGCTAAATGCCGAAAGTTGAGGGTTTTTAAGCCAGCTGTCTCAGGGATTAAAGTTATTTCAGATCCTAAACCCTGAACCCTAAACTGAGTTCGGTCGTTCAGTCATGTGTGTCTGTGGCATACACCCCAGGATTCCTTGTCGCTCTTCGATCTGTGTACAATCTTGTCTTAATTCCATAGGTTTTAGAGTTGATGGTATTGGGTTTAGGGGTTAGGCTTGAGAATTCGGAGTTGAGGGAAAGATATTACAGGAAAGACAATCACGACGACACAGACTTGACAATACTCGACCTCCATCGTCCATCTGCCATGTTACCGTGCCTCTTGCTGCCTGTGAGGCATAGCAGTGCCTTTGCTGATATGTTACACTGCCTGGACTACCTGTGCTGTTTGGGCTGGAACCTACCCAGAGAGCCCAATACCCCTTAAATAAGGAATATACCTTAAATTATAGGGGCCTTAATATTATGATTTAAGGTATATTCCTTAATTAAGGAGTATTGGGTTCTCTGGGTACTGCAGCTTCGGCTGCGCTTGCACAGTCTGCCTTGCTTCAGCTACAGCCAGGCCTCAGCGAGGTGCGACCCTATCGCAGAACATGCCGTCACCGACAGCTCTTCGATTTGGGGCTTTCCGAAAATATGGGACCCTAATCTAGTACCCTAAATAGTAGGATCCTTATCATAAGGACCCCAAATAAGGTACCCCATATTTTCGGAAACTCCCCATTTCGATGAGGTGTCGTTGCGTTTGTGGATGCGGCATAATCGCTTTGAGAGCTACAGCTAGTAGGGCAGGCCGGCCACTCAATGCAACACCAGCTTTCGCGCCGTCGCGCAGCAACCCTAAACCCAAAGCTGTAAACCCTGAACTAAACCCTGAACCCTGAACCTTAATCAAGGCAGTGCGCTCCACAGACGGCAGAAGATACAAGCGCTAGGTGGGTCTAGGGCTTGGGATTTATTTGGGGTTTTGCGATGTTCAGGGCTCAGGGTGTAGGGTGGTTACATGGGAGTGCCAGAAGGCTAAGCGTCCAAACGATGTAAGCTCACTGCAGCGGACTCCTCACTTAAACCCTAAACCCCTAAACCCTAACCCAATACCCTAAAACCATAAACTCTGGACTCCGAAACCCGGCGCAGACTGGACGTAACCGACAAAACGCGCTGGAAACAAGGATTGTCGGTCTGACTGTTCTTAACGGAACAGCGGTACTTCGTTTAGAGCTGGTTTTGATACGGATCCTAGCTCGCGTTGGGGGGTCTCTGAACCGTGGAACTAGTGGGAGCTCTGGTAACTCTGGTACAACTGCAGCAGCTAGAGGCTTAACCCAAAAAAAAACGTCTAGCCTCTACGGTTTAGTGAAGTGAGCCTGTCTTGCAAAGCCGGGCGGCAAAAAGCAGAACGTCCAGATGCTTGAGATCCTACAGCAGGCAACCCTAAACCCTAAACCCGAAACCCTCAACCCCAAAAAACGCGCATAATTCTGTTTCTTGAGGCCCTAACCGGGTCCCTCATAGACGACTGTCCTTTGAGAAGCTTCTTATATGTCTTCCCACCCCAATTCTTAAATCTACTGTAGGGGCCTTGATATCAAAATAGGGTTTCGGGGGTGTAAATTATACCATCAGTGCAATAAGGAACCCCCACAAATAGTGTTACAGTGTTGGCAGACATTTTTGACCCTACAGTACCTTCAAGCCGTAAATCCCCAAATCTTGAAACTCTCCCGGCTGCGACGGTTCAACCCTGGCTCTTAAGTCTTATGTAGTGCCATAAGGACGATCAAGTTCAAGCTTTGCGCTTTTGGGGCGGCCTAAACCATAAACCCTAAACCCTAAGCCCCTAAACCCCAGGGCTTTTGGGATGAGGGTCTTGCGCTGCGAAGCTTTCTGGCTTGTGGGGCTTGGGATTTCTCGTGGTCACAGGTGATTCCGAAACCCAAAGAACTAAACCATTAGGGTGGCCCTGTCTGTTCGGTGATTCGGGCTTAGAGTCTTACAGGGTTCTTTGGGTTCTGGCGTTCGGGATTCAGACGAACTTTATTCGTAAACCCCCCCGACTCAAACCGACCTAGTCCCTGGAAGCTTGAACCGTAAATCCATTAACCTCTGTGCTTGGGTCAAGGCACCCTCTCAACAGCAAATCTAGCAGGGCATGCTTGGGGTTTAGGTGTTTAGGGGCTTGGGGTCATTGGGTCAAGCCATTTGGGTTTAAGCCTGAAGCTACACATGTCGCAGGCGCGTGTTAGCTTGATTTCGAGCTTTTTGCACTGGCTAACTATCAGGAAGTATCCACCGGAACACCAAATAAACAACTTGGGCTATGCACATTTATTGGTTATACATACATGTGTGTATAAATATGTATGTATGTGTATATATATATATATGTATATTATATATATATATGTGTGTGTGTGTGTGTGCGCGTTTGTGTGTATGTATGCATGCATGAAATGCACGCATGTATGTATAGTATGTGTGTATGTATGCATGTATATGTATGTATGTACGTGTACTTGTACGTGTATGTGTACGTGTATGTATATGTATATGTAAACATGTATACAAATATGCATACATTTTGTGTTCTTGGTATTCACGTTTACGTTCATATTTATACTCACGTATGTATGCATGCATGTATAGGTAGACATATAGACAGATGGACAGATGGATAGAGGGATAGAGGGATAGATAGATAGATAGATAGATAGGTAAATAGATAGGTAGATAGATAGTGTATATGTTGTGTAGCTATACTTGTATAAAAGATGTTCGTCTTCATTATGTGTCCCACTGTTTGCAGGCCTCACGCCCTGCTACGCTTTACCCCGTCACAGTGTGAGTGTGCGTGCTACATATATATAAATATGTATATATATATAACACAGATGTGTATGTTTACTATATTATGTACATATAGAGGTATAAGCACAGATGTCAATCTAAATTTTGAGTATAGATATGAAAACACGAGTAATTAGACAACTACTTGCATAGTATGTGTCTTCATGTTCTCTGAAGGCCTTAGCTGCCAACTCCACACCAATCCTGATCCGAGCCCTGCCGGCCTGTCTAAAGGTGTCACCGCCTCCTCCCAACTCACACCCCCAGCGATACCTAGGACAGAGAGGCTTGGAAAGGCTGGGTTTAGAGGCCCAATGTTGCCCAAACTACCCCAGAGCCTCAACCCCTCACTTCAGCCAACGAACTCTGCAAAAGTACTCCGAATCCCGTAGCCTTCATTCAAGCCTTAACCCTCTTGCCAAAAGTGTCGCGACATGTGGAGGGCTGGGGGGGGGGGGGGGAAGGCATGGATTGAGGGGGTTCGGGCCTGTGGCCTGGGGTTGTCAATGCGCTTGGGTTTTCAAGGCCTGAGGCTCCTGGCGTGAGGCTCCTGTAGTTGAAAGGTTTAGGCCCGTCCGTTGGTGCCTGAGAGAGCGGCCTTTTCAGCTGGAGTTACATAATGCTGTGATTGCAAGGCGGCCCCCCCACAACAGTAGTGGTGATTGTGTTTGTTCCTCCCCTCTTTGAGGCCCGCATGCCCTTTGGTGCCGAGGGGGGCTTCCTGGTAGGCTTGAGATCATTGAGGGCATGCGCCCAAAATCAAAGGAACCCCTCGGCACCCTCGGCTTCCGACACCAGGCTGCATGTGAAACCTCCCTCCTTCTCTAAAGTCTCTGGTGCCTGGTTAGTTCCCGGACTACAACTCAAGCCCCTCTGCTAATATGCAGCCACAGTCCATCCCTTGAAACGATCTCGGGCCCAAGGCACTCATGAAGAGGCTGAGCATGCTCTTTGCCAAGGACCCCCAGTAGCGAGTGCTTGCACTTTGGTAGAACTTCACATCCTTCCAACGACGCTGCAGATGCAAAGCGTCGTCTCAGTCTAGGGCACAGGGCTCGGCACGTAGGGCAACCAAGACTATCGTACCCTAGCGTCTTGCAAGAGCCCAGAAAAAAAACGGCAAGCTACCGAGTCCAGTTGCAGAAGGCTTTCAATGGGTTTGGGGTTTAGGGTCTAGAGCTATTAGCATTCATGTCCTCTCTAGTTCTAACAACTACGAACTCTGCAAACAGACCTCCACAATAAAGGTAATAATAAAGCTTCAATCAACTCTCAGCATAGTCGTACTAGTGATACGAACTCGAGAAGGTAGAGTTCCAGTGGCAATTGAACCTACCGAGCCCCTGAGCCCTCAACCATGTATCCGAAACCTTAGAAACCCTACACTACTACACCTGAAAGATGTTTTGAAAGAAATAGGGGTTTAGGGGTTTAGGTGTCAAGGGGTTTGGGGGTATTGGGGTTGGGTTTGGGGTTTAGGGTTTAATGTTCCTTAGAAGTACTGGTACCGGAGTCTGGTACAGTGGTCACAATGCATGGCGGCTGATGAGTTGAGTGGATGAGGGGAAAGGAATTCGGGGTTTTGAAAGGCCACAAGATCTCGGTAACTGGACCTACAACTTTGGAACAAAAGATTGGGGGCTTTGGGCGTAAACTTCACTTCACTTCATCGCGTACGAGCTACCCTAAATCCTAAAAAATGAAAGGGGCGGTTACCGGGTCCATGCGCGCACCCAAGGCCCAAAAGCCTGAAGCCCTAAACCCTAAACCCTAAACCCCAAACCGTACACCCTAAACCCGAAACCCTCAACCCTAAACCCTACACCCCAAACCCAGCAGCGTGCCTGCAAACGGACACCCAGCGTCGGAACGAGGAAGTCCAACTCCTGGCGGCGGGTCTTTGAGGCTTAAAGGGTTTAGGCTTAAGGTTTAGGGTTTAGGGTTTGGGGGTTTAGGGTTCTATAGGGCTAAGGGTTTAGGTTTGAGGTTTTGGGTTTAGGGGTTGAGGGTTTAGGGTTTATAGGGCTTAGGGCTTAGGGTTTAGGTTTAAGGTTTAGGGTTTAGGGGTTGAGGGTTTAGGGTTTAGGGCTTAGGGTTTCGGTTTAAGGTTTAGGGTTTAGGGGCTTAGGGGTTTAGGGTTTAGGGCTTAGGGTTAGGTGTAAGGTTTAAGGTTAGAGGTTGAGGGTTTGGGGTTTAGGGTTTCGTGCTTAACGGTTTAGGGTTCGCAATCGGGTTTATGACAGGGTTGAGTATGGGATCTGTAATAGCGGTTGATAGTTTAAAAGGTTTGAAGTGTTTTATAATGGTGCTCATCTATACTATGTTTTGTCAGCGCTTTGCAATAAGTTTAGTAAATAGGTTTAAGTTTCAGGGGCTAGGCTTTAGGGCAGGTGCTTTAGGGCAGGTTCAAGGTCGAAGGGTTGGTGCTTGGTGGTGACGCAGGGCAGGGCATGCGGCATTAAGGCTTTAGAGTTTAGAGCTCGGGGTTTAGGGTTCAGGGTCTAGGGTTTAGGATTCAGGATTTACGGCTCTCAGGGATGTAGGCCATAGGCCCGTGACCAGCTGCTCCTACACCGCCTGGCACATGATCTGAACCCTAAACCCAAACCCTTAACCCTATACCCAAACCCTCAACCCTAAACCCTACACCCAGACCCTAAACCCTCAACCCAAACCCCAAACCTTAAACCCCAAACTTTAAACCCTAAAGCTTAAACCCCCAGACCCACAGGTCCGAATCCGCAAGACCCCGCATCTTTCAAACCCCCTGGCAACCTAGACCCATGACTACCCTAGGCCCTAGACCCTCTACGCCCTACGTCCTGCGAGAAACCCTTGAAAACCTATAGATCTTAAAAATCGCAAATATCCCAAACCCGTATGATCGGACAAGGCGTGCGCCTCGTCCAGATCAACAATGGCCGTGATGTTGTTGTCATTGTTGTAGTCGTAAACTGCTTGGGTAAACAGCACCGCGAACACCTCAGCAGTATATATATATATATATATATGTAGAATATGTGTAGTGGAGGGCGAACACCTCAGCAGGAAGGATTGTGGAACGTGACCCCACCACGAAGACGGAACGCAAACCCTAAATCCTGAACCCTAAACCCTAAACCCAAACCCACCCTAAACCCTAAACCCCCGAACCCTAAACCCTGACGAACAAACTCGGACGGCGCGGAAGAAGTCCTAGGCCGTCTTCGATGCGGCGCTTGGGATTTAGGCCCAGGCCGTCGAAGTTGAGAATCTACCGTTGAGCAGCCCGGATTTGTGAAAATAAACAACCTAAAGCGGATTAGGGTTTAGGGTTTAGGGGAAGTTCAGGATGTCGAATTTTGGAGTCTTTAGGTGTTGATGTCGGGCTCGAGAAATGAAGGCAAGCCCGACGACTTCACAAGTAGCTAGAAGAAAGCAGGAATACGACAAGATGAACCTGCAAGGTTCAAGAATTGATGAATTCCGGGAAAGAATGCTAAATGAAGCAAGGGTGCAACCATGTGCGCAAGGGATTGAACCCTAAAACCCCAAGCCCTGAGCCCTAAACCCTAAACCGTTAAGTCCCAAACCCTACAACCCTAAAGCCCTAGAGCCCTGAAGCCAAGCCCTGCTGGAGACGGTCGGATCCGGTTTAGGGTTTAGGGCTTAGAGTTCAGGGCTTAGGGTTTTAGAGTTTAGGGTTTGGGCTGAGGGTTTAGGGTTTAGGGCTTAGGGTTTAGGGTTTCGGGTAGTCCATAAACCCCAGCCAGAAACTGCGAAAGCTACTCCGACCGAATGACCGAAAGCGACGTCATCGACATCCGACCGGGAAGGTGATCCTAAAAGGCCCCGTCCCGACTACAGGGAGGCGACTTTACCAGATGATTCTTCGACACTTTAAATGTCCCAAAATCCCGAACCCCTTGCGGTGGATCTATTAGGACCTATGGGGTAGAATTTGGAGTCTATGCGCAGCGTCGAGGAATTCGTCCTTCACTGGATGCCCTATAGAAACGTCTACGAACACCTTATAAAACCGAACTGAAAAGGTTTCAATGGCTGTCAAAGAAACCCTATAGGAACCCCAGAAACCCAAAACAGCTGTGTGAGAACACCGTATTCACATCGTTACACAAGGCACCTGTATAGCGTGAAGCTCAAATCCTACGCCATATACTACTATAGTAGCCGGGGCCGGGGCATAGACGATGAGGCCCAAGAGAATCAGTGCCCAAAAAAGTGCTTTCAGAGTGGAGATGATCGACGTCCTCAAACATCGGCTTCGGTTCAGGGTCATTGTAGGGTTTAGTGTTTAGGGCTCAGAGGTTAGAGTTCTGGCGATTAGGGGTTGGTTGTTCGGCAATTCATCAGTGCTTTCAAGAGCCCATGGAGTCCACAGAAGCCACGGCTCTGCGGTTACATCTTGAGCTCAGGGCTGTGGAGCGTAGTACAGTCAAGGGGCCCAAAATAACTAGCTATACTATTTTCGGGGTTCCTAATATAATGATCGTGGAATGTTCCCCAAAACCCTATTCTACCTGTTAAGCCCCCTTCATTAAATCACGGGCCCAATAAGGACCCCCCCCCAAAGTAATATAGGTTATCCTATGCAGAGGCCTGAACTAGTGAGATTAGGGTTTGAGGGCTCCTATATATTACAATAATATAACCCCCCAAAATAGCACCCTAAGCCCTGAACCTTAAACCTATTTAAGCCGCCCTAATCATAATAAGGAACCCCCCAAAAATGATATAGGTCATTATTACCTATAGACTCCATTGTAGTTCCTTTTGGGGGATACCTTATAAAATCCTTAATATATAATTGGTTAAACCAAAAAAAGGAACTACAATGGAGACTATAGGTAAAGCCCCTGTATTAGGTCGGGGGCTCAAGGCGTTGAGGTTTCTGGCTCGGCTTCGGGCTCCCGGACGGTGCAAGACCTTAGGCTTTGGGGTTTAGGGTTCTAGCAGCTACCCTAAGGCCCCAAAAAGGGTCTTGGGCTTTCTGGGTTTAGGGTTTAGGGTTTAGGGTTTAGGGGTTAGGGTTTCGGATCTCACTACAAGGGTCCAGGAGCCTGAAGGGGCCTTAGACGAACAGGGCTTCGGGTACACACTTAGAACACTCATCTAGGGACTTCAACTGAATGCTACTACTACCTATTTTGCTGGGTTTCTACCCTAAACCCTAAGCCCCTAAACCCCTAAACCCCGAAGCCCCTGAGCCCCTAAACCCCTGAACCCCTATACCCCTAAACCCTAAATCCCTAAACCCTAAACCCCTAAACCCTAAGCCCTAAGCTCAGAGATCGGCGTTGGTCGGTTTTGTGAGTTGGGATTTTATTCGAAGCTCACCCTCGGGGCGGTCAGCTGCACCTCTGAAAGCCCTTGAGTATCCTCGGGCTTCTGGGTGCTAATCGGGTTTTTATAATCGGGTTAAATATAAAAGGGCTAAATCTGATAGGGTTACTATAATAGGGTTAAATATAATAGGGTTACTACAATAGGGTTACTACAATAGGGTTACTGTGAGGATTCTATGGTGGGGCTGTTCGTGCTTTGCGGGCTTTGTGGTTGAAGGCTTAGGGTTTTGCTACTAGAAGAGCTGAGAGCAACTTAGAAATCAAACGGTGTCCTATGAAGATCCGGAGCCCTACGCCCAACATACACGGTCCAAGACTTCCGGGTTCAATCTCCAGACTCGGCATTCAGACGAACCAAACGAACCCTCAAACCCTGAGCCCTAAACAGCCAAGCAGGGTTTGAGTAGGGAGTCGAGGGCACCTCATGTACTAAGCCCTAAGACCCGAAATTTTAAGTCCTAAGACCTTAAACCCTACGCCCTGAACCCTAAACCCTAGGCCCTAAGACCATAAAAGAACCCGAAGCCCTAAACACGAAGACCCTGAAAGGGGAACTGTGGTTGCCAGGAGTCACAAGCATCCGCAGGGCCATGACGAAGCGAAAGATCCGCACGAACTGCACGGTTTTGAGCAGTCGAGTGAGTCGGATAATCCGGAATGACTTCCTTGGGATGCTCAGGAAAATGGTTTTCGGGCTCGGGGCTGAGGGCTTGAGCTTTATAATCTATTAGTGTTTACAAGGCTTATTTAGGTTTTTTAAAGCTAAGGGCTTAAAGAGTTGTTGACTAAGGTTGCTTGCTTATGCTTTGCTTTCCGGTTCGACCCGAAGCCTCAAAACCTTGAAAACCTTAAACCAGAGAAGTGGGGGCTTCCTTCGGGTTCAGATGGTGTGTCTGTTGTCAGGGTTCTGTTTTTTTCTGGCTATGTGCGGAGGGTTCGGCGTCTGACACTTAAGGCTTTGATTGTTGGATGTCGGCCATTCCGGCCTCTGTTAATTAGGCTTTAGGGTTTAGGGGTTTAGGGGTTTGAGGTTTACCTAAACCCTAAACCCTAAACCCTAAACCCTAAACCGTTTAGGCTGCAGGCATCGGTAGGCGCTGTGTGAGAGGGCTGCTGGCTCCGCCGGAGGTCTCGGGTTAAGTCCCTGCGCCTTCAAGCCCACCTCGAGGGCTTGGGGTTTAGGGTTTGGGGTTTAGGACCCTGAGGGCCGTGAACGACGACGAATAAGACGACGTTTGTGCAAAACTGCCCAAAGCAGGCTCGGTGGTAGCTGATAGCTGTAGCAAGAGTAACAATGGCTCAGAGGGTTTTATTGAGGTAGTAGCAGGAGCAGCAGCAGAAGTAGTGAGTAGTAGAAGTAAAATAACTGATGCTGCTACGGTTCTTGTTCTGACTACCATCTTTAGTGGGCGACCTGTGCCCGAAGACAATGATCCGGCCCCCCACACGGATCGCATACGTCGCAACCCTAAACCCTAAACCCTA